TTCTTTCTGACAACCATGAATGAAAACCGAACCTAAATGACAGCAGCAAATCGTTTTCTATTTATTATAAAGACTTCACAATTTTTTCTAACAACCATGGATATAAACAGAGTCTAAATTCCAGCATTCCCTAAAATCGTGGCAACGGTTTGCGTGCATTTAACAACACGGGTTGTTCATTAACCATTGTTAGCAAGGTGAATTAAAATAATTAAATGGTGAATTAGGATAATTAAAACATAGAAGCTGCATTAGAAAATTCCGGGATTCTCATGCTGTACTCTATTGAAAAAGAACGACGTAAAACATCGATCGCCTAACTGAGAGGGAGCTTGGCTTTCGAACGCCCGTTGCAGCTAGGAGAGTACAAGGACAGGGACTACCCTCGATTATTCTCAGAAGGAGATCTCGGCTGGAAGATTCAGCGATCACCTGTAGAGTACGGACGCCTCTATATCGAAACGCTCCAATCCTTATCCAATCGAATCCCGTTACAATATCTGTCTATTTATTTATTTACTTATTTATTTATTTATTTATTTATTTATCAGCAGGCAAATGCGCTTTTATACTAGAATTAGTTATAGAGTAGTGCACGTGCCAGCAGCCCAATTAATTTTGGGGACAAATTGTTGATAAGAACTATTTCGACAATGATATAAGGCTGATGCTAATATGATATCAATTTATATTAGATCTACGCACGTGTACCGAACGCGGCGTATCTGTACGATAAATATTTATTATACTGTCGGTTTCAATCAGAAGTGCATTTACTCGCAATAAGTAAGTACACGCATACATAATGGATAGAGATTGTACGGGAGGTCCGAGCCGAGTTAAGTAGGTATTCATCCAAGTCCCCACCTGCAGTTAATCCCGGCTGGCTTGAGGCGCACGCTGATTGGCCGTACCGCCATTTTTCCGACTTTAATGATAATAGGATAATGATGATTATACACCGTTCACCGAACGCACTGCCTCTCTCTCTCTCCCTCTCCCTCTCCCTCTCCCTCACCCTCTCTCCTCTCTTCCACGTTCAGTTATGTGTTTATCCGCATTGCAGAAACCTGTATCGAACGTGGAAAACGGCGAACCGTCGCACGATCGATCGACCGATTTTTACTTTCCGTTTATATGCCGCGGCGCACTTTCAGGGACATGCCACCCCGAAGCAGATAGAAATCAGACCGTCTCGTAAATCGGTTTTTATTGCCGAGATCGATATCTTGATCAAGAGCGAAGTCCTTCGTTCAAGATTGCTATTAAGCGCACGAATTTCGCATTACGGAATCGGTCGGCTAAATAAATTCGCTGAAAACACGTGACTTATTCGCAAGACGACTGAAACGACAAATCACATATACGAGCCGGTCGTCGATAAAAATTGGCTGTCTGACGCGTCGAAGCAGCGCGTGTTATAAATTTGAACGCGAGCACGAGGGAACACCACGGCGAGGGAGGGATCGATCGATCGATCTGCGCGTAAGTTACTATTGTCGACGGTGATCTAACGTCTAATAGAATAATTGTGGTTGGCCTCTGGCCGGGGAGGACAGAGGGAAATGGATGTCAGGAATGCAGGCGGTTCAAAGCTGAAGCAATATGTCTTCATGTAGCGGCCGGTTGACAGTCGACGTCGTTCCGATCTAATCTACGCGCGTAGATCGAATGTCCTCTTCAATGAAACGGAGAGGGCCGTTCCAGATGTTTCCATTCCCAAACGCATTTACACTTGAATTCACCATCTTTTAAGGGAGATCGTTCACTCATCGTATCAGGATTCGCTCAGATTTTTAGACATTATTATCGTAAATATCACAATTTCACATCAAAAATCATAATGTTGATGAAGAATAAAACTTGAATCTGAAAGCCTTTTTCTGCAGTTTGTATATACTTAACAGAATGTATATTTTATGCAATTGTCAAACAGATTGTCGATAACTTTTTCTTCGTAATCAATAATATCTCCATAATTCGTAGTTTCATTATTCAGTTCTTTATTTATTTTATTGATATATCCTGTTTTCATCGAGAGGAGAGTTAAGATTCCCATTAGAAAAATGCATAATATCTACAAAAGCTACCTAAAATTTTGCGAGGTACATAAACAATAATTTCTATAAGTCCGAGGTGAGTTCATGACCCCTCTTAAAAAGAACTTGAAAATTCCGAGTAAAATTGTTAACAATAAAAGCGTATGAAACACATGTTACATTATTTTAAGAAATGTTTGACACAGTACGATGAGAATTTACACAATTTTTTCATGAAGCGCTGCATGGAGGTTCGTAATATTCGCGATTCTTAACTCGGTAAAGCTTGCGCGCTGCCAGTTCTACGTTATATGATATAACGTGCTGCGAGGAAAAAACTAGACAAAAATGCACGTCGAGTAGGAAAGGTTAAATGAGTCTACGATCTATAGTAGAAGGGAGTAGTAGGTGGAGAGGGAGCTGAAAATGAATGCAACATAATTTCCGACGGTATCAACGGTGCGTTAAATGAATAAAAAGTTGGAAAGGGAGGTTGAAAAATATCCAATCCGCTATGAATACTGTTGCCCCTGCCTCTATATGTGTATTCTCTATTCATCGCAGATTTCGCCACATAGTACGTTCCACGAGATGAAGTAAAAAAGCAAATAAATTATACAGTCTCTCGTTTGTCTAACTGGAACATAAAAATTAAAGGGAGATTATGAATTACGAATGAAATTCTGCGTTTTATTGTCATAAAAACTTTTACAAGCTTTTATCTTTTTCTTCACTCATAAAGACACATAAAGTATTAGACTGTGATTTTTGGAAGCATGTAAAATGTACGTCGATGTATGACTGATAGAATACATGATTATTGATATATCCTGTTTTCATCGAGAGGAGAGTTAAGATTCCCATTAGAAAAATGCATAATATCTACAAAAGCTACCTAAAATTTTGCGAGGTACATAAACAATAATTTCTATAAGTCCGAGGTGAGTTCATGACCCCTCTTAAAAAGAACTTGAAAATTCCGAGTAAAATTGTTAACAATAAAAGCGTATGAAACACATGTTACATTATTTTAAGAAATGTTTGACACAGTACGATGAGAATTTACACAATTTTTTCATGAAGCGCTGCATGGAGGTTCGTAATATTCGCGATTCTTAACTCGGTAAAGCTTGCGCGCTGCCAGTTCTACGTTATATGATATAACGTGCTGCGAGGAAAAAACTAGACAAAAATGCACGTCGAGTAGGAAAGGTTAAATGAGTCTACGATCTATAGTAGAAGGGAGTAGTAGGTGGAGAGGGAGCTGAAAATGAATGCAACATAATTTCCGACGGTATCAACGGTGCGTTAAATGAATAAAAAGTTGGAAAGGGAGGTTGAAAAATATCCAATCCGCTATGAATACTGTTGCCCCTGCCTCTATATGTGTATTCTCTATTCATCGCAGATTTCGCCACATAGTACGTTCCACGAGATGAAGTAAAAAAGCAAATAAATTATACAGTCTCTCGTTTGTCTAACTGGAACATAAAAATTAAAGGGAGATTATGAATTACGAATGAAATTCTGCGTTTTATTGTCATAAAAACTTTTACAAGCTTTTATCTTTTTCTTCACTCATAAAGACACATAAAGTATTAGACTGTGATTTTTGGAAGCATGTAAAATGTACGTCGATGTATGACTGATAGAATACATGTGTATTAGAATAAACATTTCATTAATATGATAAAAGCAATTTCCAAGCTATCCTCTTCGGTTTACAAATGTCTTCTCATCCATGGAGACAAGCTTAGAACCGAGCCGTGATTATAATTCAAAGCAACTAAAAGTGCATTTACAGCGTAAGAAGGGTTAAATCTTAGCGTATGAATAATGTCCCAGACGAGCCGGTTTACAATCATATCGCGATAGCTGTCTTAATGAACCACGTCGGGGCGAACGTTGATGCAATTATTTATATGAAATATTGCCCGGTACGAGTGCCTGTGTCCATAATCAATCACACCCTCCCTCGGGTTACGATTCTCCCTTCTCTGTCGGCGCGGCGTTTACGAGCCAGCTGCCCACTTGCCGCCGCCACAATTGAACACCATCTCGGCGGAACTCGCCGGTGAACTGTCAATAAATATGTTATAACGCTGTTTTATGCCACCTATCCCCTCGCGAAATCATTCGCGCGTTACCTATAAATTTTAAAGAAAAACGAACGTTCCATTTCGCAACATGAATTATTCGCATATTTATAAACAATCCTGGTACGAAAATTCTTATTAAACATATTAATAATAATAATACAATTCATTCTAAAATGCGATATAAACGGAAATATCAATTTAGTACATATATACATATACATATACATATAACAATTAATTATTAATTAATTACAATAACATGCCGATCGATGGTTCGTTATTATGAAGAGTCAGACAAGTTTTGTCAAATCCAACTACAAGCAGATCGAGCATTGAAGAAATGAAGCATATATTTATTAATACTTCCTGGTTTCGTTCCCATAGGGGAAGCTAACAGAATCAAAAACGGGTCGAGAATCATTGCCCCAAGTTTTACATACGTGGACGTTTATGTCTGTGTATATGAAAAATCTTTATCGGAGTAGATCGATCGTTACAAAAGATAGTGAATTTATATAGAAAGTGCGACGGATTTGTAAACGGACAGGCAATCAGTGGAATCGTTTCCATTTCAGGTGTGTACACCCTGCCCGAGCACATCCACAAGCACGAGATAGTGATACCCCGAAAAGTGACCCATAGGGGTGAGTTTATCTCGCACAACGTGACCCACCATCATCACGAGTATGGGCCAACGGTCCATTATCGATTGTCAGTGGCCGGTAACGAGTACCACGTCGAGCTGACCGGCACCGACGACTTCATCGGGCCTGGGATGATCGTCGAAAGGCGGAAGCGTAACGCGCACGTGCGCGCGCGCCCGAAAAATCAGTCGAGCAAGTGCCATTATCGGGGTTTCATTCAGGGACACGCGAATTCCCATGTCGCCCTCTCAGCCTGCGACGGCCTGGTGAGTTTTACATTTCCGACCCTTCGTGTCTCCGCGGATTTGTATCCCCGAGATATTTTTCTCCTCATTCACTCTCTTTCATCAGCTTCTAAATGTAGTAATCTAATGAATTGATACACACTCGATTGAAAAAATTTTCTTAATATTACTGGAATATTTCGATTGAGTAGAAATTATTTTATACGTACTCTCGAATGATTTAACACTAGATTGCCGGAGCGAGCCAACTTGACTCATTGTTCACGACTCGAAGTTCAAGTATCATGTAGAATAAATAATTACTATTATATTTATAGAGTAACCCTTAAACGCCCCTTAAGTAAGGGCGTTTGTGCTAAATGTAACAAAACAAAACTTCGAAAAATGTATTTTAAAAAAAGAATACATATGTAAAGATTGTTTTTAATGAAGTTTCTTTAAAATAAAATTTTATTTTCTTAAGAAACTTCAATTTTATTGTTTGAGTCAAATTGACTCATTTCAGACAAAATACGTATATACCCAACATCCGGCAATCTAGGCAAAAAACATTTTTTATATTCGTTATATTACGTGTTTTCGCATTTCGTAAAGTTTTGGCAGAGACCTTATGACTCATAACACATTAAGTTTCAAGTGGAATAGGATGAAACGGTGACAGTCGTTACGTCCGACATATCATATGGATGCTCTACTTACATTTCATATCATCGAGGAAACGTTAAGATCCGTTTGACAAGTTGGCTCCTGCTAATAGCGCAATTAATTTCGTCTGTGCTCATTATCCATATATTACCTGCCATTCCCAGCCTGTAATTTAATTATCAATTTCATTATTGTACCGGCCGAGCGAGATTTACTGGTTTCCTTAAAATTTAACGCGAATGTTGCGGTTATCCCATAGAAACTAGCGTTTCGTAAAATCGCGGGTAAAATGGTAAAAAATGGGTTGGCGGTAACGAAGCGGGAAGATGGAAGCTCAAGAACAATGGAAGCAACCGGAGCAAAGAAGAAAAGGAGAAAACGAACGGGGAGGAGCAACGCATCGGCACAATTTGCTCGCAGCTTCCAGATAATGATTTAATTTGCCGCTGCCTGGCAGATTTATGACGGCGCACCTTTGCCATAAGTAAATGCTCACGCCCTATGTACCGAGAGTAACGCAAAACCGCCTTCCACGCGAAACCGCGCACGAGTTTTCTTCTTTTCTCGAAATTTTTTTTGTCCGGATCTCACGAAGCGAAGCCACCCTTCTCTCTGTTTCGATAGTTTTTGAACTTTTCTTACGGTACATATGTTTCAATCCAGAGACGGGTATGATCTATACTGGCGTGGCCGAGCAATAAACACGTAGATACGTAGTATACGAGAACAGTAAACGAGATTGCATGTGGGTGGTTGCCGGGCCAAGGATGTTGGAAGTTGGAATATGAGCGAGCTGCAGAGGAAACTTCCCTTTATACGGGGGCAGGTTCTCACGCAACGGCATATAATTGATCAATTTTCTCCAGGAATCCCTGTGGAACACTATTTCGCCAGCGGCGATTGACCTAAACCGCCGCGCCGTGCGGGATTATAAAGACACGAAATTTCACCTTGTATCAGCGTAGTCACGCGGAAGCTATAACAATGAGCAATATTCGTTCTCGATGAGGACAACTCCTCGTTGCGAGAGTTTAATTATTAATGATTGATTAGCTCCAGCTTTGTAACGTCAAATTCTGACCTGAGGAATTAAATTATTATCGGGCTTCCACAAAATTATGTGAGTCCGTGCTTTCATTACACAGGTTTCACTACTTCGTATTAACTATCCTGCCATGCACACACGTATTTCTACCACGTTCTGTTTGTTACGTTCGACGTATTTCTACGAGTTTAAACAAATTATTTTATTACCGTTATATATATTCAATAAATAAATAAATAAATTCTCTAGTCTAAAATCATT